TAAGGTACTACCAGTACTGTAGTAGTGAAGTACAAGTAATTCGTAAGCACTGCATCTGCGTTCAATATATTTTCAATTTGGAAGAAAAGAAAAGATTTGAAAACAAGTTCTCAATCATAGGTTTGATCGACACAATCAGCTGGCAGAGCCTGTCTTTCTTTTGACTATYAGTACATTCTGCAACAATTTAATTTGATTTGACAAACTTAAAGAAGGAAGAAGAAATGTATCCCAAGCTACATTGTGAACTCGTGGGTCTGACCTTCAAGTTCCCTGATGCGAGCCATCATTTCCCYTAACTTGTTTGCATGATCTCTTTTGAGTCCTTCCAATTCTTCTTGGTGCTTTGCTTCTGCTTTAGTCAATTGACCTTTGAGTTTGAGAATTTCCCCACTCTCATTGATTTTCGCTTCTCCTTTTTCCTCTAATTGCATCTGTAGATCGTCGCATACGGTCTTCGATGCGATTAACTCCAATTGTGTCGCTTTCAGCTTCGATCGAACATCTTTTAGTTTCTTCTTCAAACGGATCCCATCGCTGTTGTCGTCGTCTGCTGTTGATTTCAATCGTTTCTTTCGGGTTTTGGACTTTGGTTTATCCAGTATCTCATCGAACCGTTGAGGTTTCATAGACGCCCGAACAGGCCTGCCGTCYAGCCGTTCACGCAAAGGTTCCCCATTCACTACGGGCTTGACAACGCTGTCGAAAAGCGACGAAGGGGGCGCCCCCACCATCAGGTCGTTGCCATCGGAATCATAATCATCTTCCTCCGGTACATTGGATTGCGACGGTGTRCTTTTCTTGGGACTTACTTTCTTCTTGGGTTTAGGAGCTCTCGGCTCCCTTAACTTGATTAAAGTATCAGGACCCGATGTCCACTTTGTATCATCCGACTTGAAGGGGCGAATTGAATCTTTCACTCGCTCTCGACTAAAATATATTTTTTCAACAGAACTAAACGATCCATCTCTGAGTGTTGGCAGATTTCTAGATCTTTCTCGCTCAAGCGCATCGACACGATGCATCTGTGCCYTCACAGCATTGCCCAGCGCACTTTTAGTTTTGAACATGGAGAAGAAGTGCTGCCAATAAACATTTGCCAGGGCACCCAACCAAGCATACAAATTCCGCTCATGGATTTTGCCATAGTCTTCAAGGCCAAATGCCAATGATTCCTTCGTTGGAGTCAGTGGAAGATGCCCTTCGTAATCATCCACGATAACAGTCAAGCCCTGACAAAAGTTCGTCCCTATGCAACGCATGGAATTCAGAGGCGGTACAAATGTATATTGAGCAAAGATACAACGCAAAATTGGATCCGTATGCCATAAATTAAGCCAGCAGAAAAGAGATACAGTTTCGTACCTGAATTCGTCAAACGTAAAACTCCCCTTGCATCGTCGTGTTTCAGAAAGAGACGRCCACTGATGCGACTGAAAATAAGCAACGAACAGGCTTGTCCACCGATGAAGGAGTTTGAGACTCCTTTCGAATTGAYGCGACGCGGATCGAAGCCAAGAGACACTTTGACCTSGTAGCAATCGTCACTTTSCGGSATAAGCCAATCCTCAGCGGTTCGAAAATCATTCTTTCGATCGATGAGCAAAGGAATCTGATGCAATTCCACCAACTTTCCTCGGTAGAGAACATAAGAATACGTATCATTTAGGTCGACATTCAGGGTAAGACCAAGACAAAAAAAAACACAGCAACAAAACGTCGTCCATTAGTTTTTGCAAGAAAGGCAATRGATCAGCGATCGTACTTCTATGCCGTTCCCTAGATTTCGAAAAGATGAATTGCTCGATTCACAGCAGGTGTCAATCGATAGAAATAAACATACACCATGATCGGCGAAACAACAATGGAATCAATTCCTCGAAGAGTGTGCCGACACACAAAGCATAATAGTACGTACGTGGCGYTCCCAATACTGGAAGTTCAAGGTTTCCTGGTTGACTTTCACTCGGAARAAAGGAGCCGGTGGAATGTGCAAATAAGTCTTCGGCATTTCGTCCGCTAAATCCCTTAGGAGGTCATCAAGTTCATCCCTTGATTTCATTATGAGAGATTTCCGTTCGTCTTTGCTCCCATCTTCGGTTCCTTTTTTCCTGTGCTTTCCGAATTTGTGCAAAATCATGAGGTACTGGTGTGGGTGGGGCGGCTTCGCTTGTTTCTTCCCGTTCTTTTTCGATGGAGTCGAAATCATTAGCTCGATGTGTTTCGCCAGCCGCTGAATCCCGTACTTTCTGCGATTGCTCGGGGCGGCGGCTCCGTATTCCTTCATTGCTGCCCCAAGCAACTTGTTGTTCGCCGTGACATTCGCTAGTTCTCGCAACAAAACTGGTTTGCAGGTTTCCCCCAAAAAATCGCCTATCCCTTTTACTTCGGCACCGCCATCGCCTTGTTCCWTTTTCTTCCTTTCGTTGTGCTCGTCGATATAGAATTCGATCGGGAGGGTCCAGCTCGGAATCACGCAGTTTTCGGTTGTTTGGAATTTTCTCCACAAAATACCGATGCTTATRAGGCATTTCCGAATGCGGGGCGTGGAATTGTCGTCGTCGTCGTTGTCGCCATAGTCCATCATGAGCGGCTCTTCGTCGATTCTTGAAGTGACTACCATGGAGAGGTCGGACATGGCGGCAGCAGCCTGTTTTACGCCGACACCATTTTCACCTGTGTGGTTCGATGGAAGGATGAAAGCAGACATCGGACGATAAACGGGTGAACAAAGCACAAAGAATAATCGATTTTCTGGAAATGTAAAGAAAAATATACACACGAGCTGATTTTGGTAGTAGATGACTTACCAATGTCGGAATCGCTTTTGGCTGAGTTGTAAACGTCGAGGATTTTCCGCAATTCCTTGACGGGGTGAACGCAGTCATTGTGCAAACACATTGTATTCTCGTCGTCGATCAATACGAAGTCGACGTTGTCGGWATTGTTACTATTCTCACTTTTGACGTTTCCATTGTCGTTGGCATTTTTGTTTGCGCTGGTCTCTCGTCTTCCCACGCCGCCATTTCCCAGTATGTCGTGAAGAATGAGCGGTGGAGACTTGGCGGCACTAGGTTTTTCTCYGCTGTTTGGGTTTTCGGTTGCGTTGCTGCCATTGCCGTTTTCGTCGTCATCGTCATCGCCGTTGCTACTGTCGTGATAGTTGTACATTGCGAGCCTATGGCTTTCCGTCGAGATACTGATCCTCCCCGATTGTCTTTTCCATTTCTCCATTTGCGTCAGCGCCTTTTCGGGGCGTTCTCCGGTGCTATTGTCGCCCTCTTCTTCGTCGTCTTCGTCGTCCGAGTCCCAGAGCGCTGCGTCCACGGCGTTGTCTACCAGATCCAAACAGGCCTTGAGTTTGTTAGAGAAGTTTCGCTCCCATGCCGACCACATTCCCAATCCGTTCACCTTCGAGCTGTGGTGCTGGGCGGCATCGTTCTGGGTGACATCGTGCTGCACGCGCTTGGGTTGCGGGAATYCAGGGGCAGGATCGTCGGAAACGGTCTTTTCGCCACTGACGGGGATTGTGCTCATTGCGGATCTCGTGTTTCTCTCTGTCGCTAATCGAAGATGTGCGCTTCAATGCAATCCACTGCAACTGGATYGGCGGAAACTGCTATSGGACAGCTAGAGAATGCCGTCGGAGGAGGGATATGAAACAAGCAGCAATTTTGATACCACTTCCAAATTTAGAATGTACGTAAGGTACGAGTACGTACTGTAGTGCGAGTACGAGTATCCTTAAGAATAAAGGGAAACAAAAGCACTACTGTACTCGCTTTTTCCTTGCAGGACGAAAAGCAACAAGCCGAACACACCGTATTACAGTATCCTACGTACGAAATACTACACAGATTTACGAGACTTTTTCAACCTGTATCATTAGTACGGAAAGGTTACTGTAGCGTAGCCAAGCCAGGAGGAATTTTTTAACTTTTTTTACAGTAATCCTTCTGTACAGTCCGTACCGGTACGTAGGTTTATCCAAGGTAAGTGCTGGTACGTACTCCATCTTTTCACAAAAATAATGATGATTCTGCTTAGTATTACGTTCGCACTCGTAAACGGGTGATTCCCATAAACATAGAATCTATGCCGTCTTACTTTACGAATTTATGTATGGGATTAAGTATGAAATCTTAGATTATGGCGCGCTACATGTGCTTGATTTTGGAATATGGAATTTTGCTTGAAATTAACAGAAAATAACTCCATTCTYGCCAGCAAATATTGAGAACACATGGTGCCAGCAAGCGCGCCAGAACAAATCCAAACGCTCGTGACTAAGGATTTTCTGAATCCTCGATTCCAAAAAAGTACGGTACTAATACTCGAACATTTACCACCGTATGCAGAAGGGATAGCTGAAACATTCCACGAACGAGGGTCGTTACGAAGCGACGCATTAGTACCAGTTCCCTTAATTTACGAGTACGTACTGTACGGTACGTACTTCCTCGTAACCAAGACTACTCCGACGAAGTCAACAATAGAAAATACTCATGCTCATCCCCTACGATACGGTACCGTACGTACTCGTAGTAGTTAGCGAGCCAATTCTGTTTTTTTTTCTCCTTGTTTTTTGGGGTGTAAGGGAAACTATTCATGAAAAAAAATACTTACATAGGGCCATGTGATTCGAATCTCAACAATTCATCGAATTTCGAACCTCTCTTTCTGTATCAATCGAATTCGAAACATCAACAACCATCGTCCTTTCAACATTATGAATAGGAAATAGGACCGCAGACGAAACCGCAGGCATAATGGTATCCACTGCAAGTGTTCGAAGTGCCAGCAGCAGCACAAATGCAGAATCAAACACGTTGCGATACGGTGCCATTCCTCTATCGGAGCGAACCTCCNTATTTTTGATAGAGCTGTAACTGCTTAAAGGTTGGATAGTTTTACTAGTATTATGCAGTAAAAATGAGAATGAAAAAAAATCCTGGGGGGACTTTTTGGAAATTTGGACCACACGTGGAATATGAGTTTCGACTCGTTGCGCGCCCCTCTAAATTAATGACCCCTACTGTACGGTACGTACTTCCTCGTAACCAAGACTACTCCGACGAAGTCAACAATAGAAAATACTCATGCTCATCCCCTATGATACGGTACCGTACGTACTCGTAGTACTTAGCGAGCCAATTCTGTTTTTTTTTCTCCTTGTTTTTTGGGGTGTAAGGGAAACTATTCATGAAAAAAAATACTTACATAGGGCCATGTGTTTCGAATCTCAACAATCAATCGAATTTCGAACCTCTCTTTCTGTATCAATCGAATTCGAAACATCAACAACCATCGTCCTTTCAACATTATGGATAGGAAATAGGACCGCAGACGAAACCGCAGGCATAATGGTATCCACTGCAAGTGTTCGAAGTGCCAGCAGCAGCACAAATGCAGAATCAAACACGTTGCGATACGGTGCCATTCCTCTATCGGAGCGAACCTCCRCCTCGCACGCAACGCACGCATCCATGGAAGAAGCCGAGRACGCCTCGCTGTTGCTGGAGGAAGAGCGCGCAAAATTCGACCCGCGGTGTGTCTTCGAGTCGGAGGYGTGGGGTACGGGGGTAGCGGGAATGGGCGACGAAATATCAAATCTGCTCAAGAACATCGTCGGCAGCGGTGGCCTGTCGATACCCGGCGGGATCGCCACCTTTGCTAACKCGCCTTCCGCCATCCTGCCCTCCGTCGTTGTGTTGTGGATCATGGGGTTKGTGAACGCCTACTCCTTTTCGCTCCTTGGAAGGATATGCGCAATCACCAAGAGCCATACCTACGGCATGGCGTGGGAACGAACCGCCGGACGACGATACGGAAGCCGGTCTCAGCTCTTTGTGGATTGCGTGGTCTTCGGGAAAGCCATTCTCGGGACATGGTCCTTCTCGATCATTATCGCGTCGACTTGCACCCCTCTCGTCCGGTATGTGTTGTTTAGTACTACAAACGGGACGATTGACAGCAACAGCAGCAGCATACCCTTGTCTCCGATAGAGAACGGTCGCCATGTCGACAAYGATATGTTTTTGTACGAAGTGCGAGAGGTATCTCCGGATGTCGTCCTGGCAACAATAACCCTATTCGTGCTGTTGCCGTTATGTCTGTCGCAGCGCCTGGGTTCCCTATCGGTRTTTAGCGCCATTGGCACTCTAGGAACGTTTGTGACGATTACGACGATGCTGTTGCGCTTTTTCGACGGCAGCTACMAGGAGGGCGGGGAGTTTTTCGGTGATTTGGAACCGAGGCAGCGCCCGAGTTTTGGCACGGAGAGGGGTGCCGCTGCCTTTTTCACGTCTCTGAAATCCCTCACGCTGGTTTCGATTCTGTCGACCGGATACGTCGCCCACTACAACGCACCCAAATACTATTACGAACTGAAAGACCACACCACGGGAAAATTCAACGTCGTTGTCACCTTTGGTTTTTTGTTTGCAGCGATCACCTATACACTCACCGCAACCCTTGGATTCTTGACCTTTGGACAGAACTCGCTTGGATTCATTCTGGACAATTACTCCTACCGAGATCCGATGGCGACGGCGGCTAGATTTGGGGTTGCCGTCTCGGTAATCTTTGCCTATCCCTTGCTCTTTCACGGCGGCCGAGACGGGTTGTTGGATTTGCTCAAAACCTTGTCGTCATCGTCRTCTGCTTCCAATACGCACGTGCGCGTCGAYGATACTGCAGATGCGGGTGCAGATGCCGGTACAGGTGCAGATGCAGATGCAGATACGAGCAGAAACACAAACACACTCTKGGTTGGTCATAGTCGGACGGAATCAAACGTCGTAACTGTTCTGTTGTTGTTCACCGTGACGTCCCTGGCCATCTCCGTCAACGATCTAACCTTTGTGCTAAGCTTCAGCGGTGCCACGATGAGTTCATTGATTATATACATCTTYCCACCGTTAATGTTCTCGGCGCTGGTCAAAAATTGTTGTTGTTACGTGAATGAGGACACCGATCGAGAAGTRAAACTCGGCACTGCTATGATGATCGCCGGGATTGTTTTAGGGGTTGCCGGTGCCTACGTAGCGGTAGAGAGAGCTTTTTTTTAAAGTGCTGATGAAATCGATCAGAAAAGAACACGAGATAGCGAGGCAGTTTGACTAGAGGGAGAATGACCAGAACAATCTGCGTTTCGATGAGGATTTTTTAATTGTCGCACTCCTTTTATCGTAACTTGCTGTAGGGAGAATCAAAAGAGACTTTCCCATTTTACCCGGAGGTAAAGGGCAATCCATTCTACAATTTGACCAACTATGCGGAWTTTTTTGTTTTTCCASACCAGTAAAGACACAAATACGAGTGTTCTTCAGTTGAATGAGGTGGTATGGAATTCACCCTTATAATRAATTTGTCACTGACATGCTGGTCTTGCTSGTMCTCACGAAGTTCGCCATCGTCGCACTAATCTTGTCGATGGATCAATGGATGTCTCGCTTATCACTTCCCGGTGCACAGTACCAGCTACTGCAATTCGAAATAAAATTAACCCTAGAATTAACGATTTTCGCCCACTCGCTACCTGTAACTTTGGGTGACTAGTTCTAAGCCACTAGAGCATCATTTGGCWTCCCAATGACATGGATCTATAAGTAATTATATCCACTTGGACTGGGCGCTTAGTCTGGTGGTCTAGAGTTGTTTCTTGATAGAGTTCTAGCCTAGTATTTTCTAACCAACARCCGGTCTCCACTTGCCATTTTTGGCCATACTGGCTGCTAATGGAGAATTGCAATGTGAAAGAACCTCCTACTTCAGCAGTAACTTAGACTGGTATCATGCAAACTACTTCTAGTATTGTACAGTAGTGAAAAAGTTGAGAAATGATTCCCATAGCTAAGCACTGCATGTACCTACTGTACACACATACTTGTACCAATGTACTGCAAGATACAGCAGTACATAGGCTACGATTGGCTTGGTAAYGCAAGAAAAAGTTTCTATGGTGCAAAAACYAAGTGTGYGCAAGGGTGAAAAGAACTATTTTTGGTCAAGGTACTAATTTATTTGCTATTTTGGGGTACTGASGAGGCCTACACCATGGATTCTAAACAAAAAACAAGTTTCTTTTTATTTTTTCTGAAAGTCAAGAGCAGTGAGAATTCTTCAAGGTCACTGACATGGCATGGAATGGCAAGAAGATGGGTAATRATGCAGAGGAGTAGTTTCCTCTCCCCTCTMCCCAATTTACATCACCTGGAGGAGGACCCGCTCTGTGAGGAATACATTGGATGGCTGCAATAAAAGGAAGGTGGAAGGGTTGRCACATTTGTTCTTGTTCTTGTTTGATGAAAGAATCCTTCACCAGCTGCTGATAGCAAATGAGTCCAACTGGTTTGTGTTTGAAGATTGGACTGGAAAGCTCCGTGATGAAGGTTCTAAGCTACTAGCAGAGTGGATGCCAAAGACTTTAAAGACTGGAAAATGAAAATCATATGCTGAAATTGGGTAAATAGCTATCGCAAKTATGTCAGACGTTTTYATTATATGCAATCTTCGTAACTGWATACATCTATAATAGATCTGTTAAGCACAAAAAGAATTATTCAAATTGCCCAAATAATGAGCTTATTTCAATAGAAGAGGTGCAAACTGGACACTCATAGTGGACCGGAGGAAGTACTAGCAAAGGAAAAAGAAATCCTAAATTTTCCGGGTGGCAACATTTGGCAACWCGCGACGGGAAAAAGTTAACCCCCTCCTGATTTATCACAAACCTTTGCTCTTAAATCTACTTCTTCAGTTTCTTCAGACTCGCTTATTTTCTTGACACAGTCCTATTGTATCCTATGGTGCGTACGAGTACTACGAGATTCGCTACTCTGTACAAGACTGAAGACGTTACGAGTACTACAAATCGGAATTTCGGAAAGAAACCGATACAGTGACTTACATTACGTACAAGTTCCATAAGTACGTGTCAGTACTTTACTTCTAATTACTACTGGTATCCGCAAACAAATTTGCTGGACCTTTTTTCCTGTGATCTTCGATACAGTACTTCAAGGTGTTCTAACGAAGCTTTGCGTTTTACCTTGGCTTTGTTGCGACCTTGTTGCAGGCATTACATATAATAAAAGCGTCTATTTGCGAGAATTATGAATGCTTTGACGCTTTCATCAGTGCTATTCTCGTCCTCGCTGTTGCTGGTGGTTGCAAATGCACTCGTCGCATCAGGGAGGCCAACCATCAGCAAGAATGCTTTGTTGACACAACACGCTGGTYYTGGCGGAGGTATTGTCTCCAACTTTTGGACTCGGATACCACGAGGTGGATCTGTTCGCAATCGAAAACAAAAATTGTTGCACGAAGGAACACCATTAATATTCACTGCTGTTGCTGCTACCGATGTCGACGAAAACTACAAGCCGAACGTTTTCCCCAAAGAGGACGATGAGAATACCTTTCTCGGAGAAATATTGAAAGCGAACTTTTTGTTTGATGACTTCACCACATACAAGAATGCAGAAAATGATGATATGTCGGAAGTCATCGCGTCCTTCGAAAAGTGCACCTACGACGAAGGGTATTTGTTGTGCGAACAAGGAGATACAGAAGATACAGACTACATGTATGTCATCGCCGAAGGTAGTTGTAAAATTTCCATCGATGGTAAAAAACTTCCAAAGCCGTACGGAACGATGGGTTCTGGTAGCTTGATCGGAGATTTGGCAATGTTGCACGGAACCCCTCGAGCGGCCACAGTTCGCACTATGACGCCTGTAACTCTTTTTCGATTGCATCGCAATGATTTCTATCATTTCTTAGAGAAATTTTCTGGCAAGGTCAAGGACAAAAATACAAAATCATTGGCAGTTTCAAGGAAAGAGGAAATRCAAAAACAGGTGAAAGAAATCGATCATATTATTGATCAAATCAGCGGAGTGAAATCGAAATTTCAGGGAGAYATCATTCGTCAATTTCAGCCGAATCGTAGGTGGTTATGGACGCGATGGCGAGGAACCATTATGCAGCATGCGTGGAAATCGGCTCTAGGCAATATGGCCTTGAGTATTTTCTTTATGGTTGCTATAAGATTTGCAAGCGATCAATCRCTTACATGGCCCATCGGTAAGAGAAATTATTTCTACAACAGTAATAAATTGGTATCAAACACGAAGTAGAAATATTGTTCTACAGGATCTGAGATGACAATGTATTGAAGACTGAGAAGTTCTCAACATTTCCTCTTTACTTTACATTATAGGTGCCATTCCCGATCCGGAGCACCCTTTGATTGTTCGATTGAAAGGTTTGCACAAACTGTGGTGAGTAGCAATCAGACTAAAAGTGCATGTAGTTTCAATCACAACTCATTGAACTCCTCTCAACCATATCTTTTCTCACTGTATAACAGGGGTTACACCATGTCGATCACAACGATGATCCTCTCCTTTTACCTGAATAAGGCATATGGTTTGTGGCGTGATATTTACGTAAAGGGGAGAATAATACAAGGAAGACTAAATGACATCTCGATGGTGTTGGGTAAGTCATTTTCATCTCGCTTGTTTTGAATGAATGGATACTGGGGATTACATTGCCTCACAGTAACGATGGAATTTCCGGCCGTTTTCGTTTTGATAATAAACTTTGTTAACGTTAGCATGTGCGGCTGAACGCGATCCAAGAACAGGAAGATTCACAGACAGAGCTAGTTCCATGTTAGAGGATGTTGCCATGTCTTGCCGTTTGAGCCACGCTTTTTCCTGGGCGGGCTTCATCAAACGCTTTAGTGTTTTGTTAACGCCCCCGGGTCTTAGTAGGATGTTAAGTCGGGGCGTCATGACACGTTCCCAATACGATACCTTAGTTCATATCCGTCCAAGCGAATGTGCCCCGCAACACGTAACATTGATGTGGATCATGTCTCGGATTTTTCAAGGTATGAGAGATGGAGTCATTCCTGATGACAACGCAACAAAATCTGTGTTGATGAATAAAATTTGCGATATTAGAGGCACTTTAGGAGGGTTGGGAGATTCTCTCGACGCAAAGATACCCCTGGCTTATGCACATTTGGTCCAGGTGATGGTGGACGTCTTTCTAACGATGGCACCATTTGCTTTGTACTCTGAACTCGGAATTTGGAGTGTTTTTGCCGTAGGGGTGTTGAATATTTTTTATAGTGGGATGAACGATCTATCCAAAATCTTGCTCGATCCGTTGGATAATTGCGATGGAAGTTTTTATCAAGATTCCTCCATGAATATGGATGTCGGAGTCTTGATTCGAGAAAGTAACGATGGGTCGAATCGATGGAAAGCCGGGCTCCAGGAGCTCCCATTTGAGTATGGCTCAAAGTAATTTTGAAAGAAGGAAAGAAAGAATTCAGGTGGGCGTGATCATCGGARAATATTTCCAACCTAAAAGTTTATGGCGAAATTTACTACAGTGGGAAATGARTTTTCACATAGTCAGYTTTATTCTTTTCAGATAATTCGTTGTTGTAAGTTACCRGTGCTGCGTTTCTTATCTTGTTATCACGTCCCTTAGAGTAAGGACGGTCGAAAGTAGCTACTAGCAGCATTTCRCCTATCAAGCRTAGTTTCTTCTACTACTTCAAATCCTGTGAATMGTTTTGATTTCCCGTAYTCTTTTGTTACGAACTTTCTGGCGATTGTCGATGGAGCAATGTACGATGAYCGAGTATCACTTTGTGGGGACGACTCGAATTCATTCGTCCAGGATTTTTGGGATCCAAGAAGTTACTTTAATGAGCGAAGATTAAAATGAAAATTTGATAAGCCCCATCTGTAGAGTGCCACAGTTTTTGGGTTCCTTCGCCCGCTCAGGACGGCGCAAAAAACTAATAACGATTCATGCTCAGGATGTCTTCCTAMATCACGTTCTGCTACCGTAGTTTCGTTTCCTCAAAACATGAGATAATTCCTGGGTATTTTTCTAAATTCCGATACAGTACAACYGTACGTGATTGACAGTWCAGAAAAACTTGGATCTTTCTTTTGTTCGCTGATCTCAATCATTCCCGCTTTTTGTTTTACTTCAAGCGAAGGATGTTGTTTGCTTTTCATTGTTGTCTGCACTGACATCTTAATTCTAGTTGCAAATACAGAATCAATATGCATCCCTGGTTCGAACTTTTGAAGTTCTCACAAAACAAAACTTGCAACAATTAAAACGCAAAACAACAAAACACAAATACAAATTACCACAAATACGTCAAAATGATGAARGCCGATGAACAAACTTCTTTTCGYTTCCAATCCGATATGAGACAGTTCGGAGGACTCCTCATGCTTATGTCTTTTTGCCTCTTGATCATGCCGCTCGCAAGCATCGCATCTGCYTTCGGACCCGATGGTGCTATGAGCAAAGATCCTAGTWCCATTCCATTCTGGGGCACGGTTGCTGGGCTGTGTGTCTTCATTACCGGAACACTGGGCGTTCTTGCTGGTTACATGGCCGCCATACACGATTGGAGTCACCGCTATCTCACCATTGTCCTCATGTTTGCCATCCAGACCGCATGGATTGGATACATTACAGACATGACCGCTGTTGGCAAGGGATCCACGATGCCAGCCGAAACAAACGGCTTCATTCCACTAGCCTATAATCCAGAGGACGTCGACGTCAGGTTTGTGGGAGCTATGGGTATCATTGGCATCTTGTGCTATGGATTTGCTTTTGTCGGATCCATGGCATTCATGGTTTGGTCTCTTCACGCTTATGCAAATAGCGAGCCAGGAAGCCATGGCGGAAATTATTTCAAAGGACGCATGTCGTTCTATTCCATTGTCTTGGCAATCGCTGGATTAGTTCAATTTCTATTGGGAGTCTGGTGCCAAGCCCGTTTCGATATGAATGTTCTAACAGAGGGTCCTGTCGCCGTTGYCTTCCTGGTCATCAGCTACCCCGCCATTGCGATCTACATCGGCCTGATGCAAATTGCCAATGGTGCATGGGGGGTTGCCCGCGCTCGTGGTTACTTTCAGAAGAAGAACGTGTACCAATGGTCGTTGGCATTCCAGTGGGTCAACGTTTTGGTCTTGCAGGATCTTGTCCAGGTCTCCTACGCCCCCGGTGGCACATTGGCCCCTGTCGCTCCAACGGTAGCCGCGTTCACTCTTGGCCTTTCCCTCATGCCTGCTTACCTCGATCACAAAATGCTTTCGTTGCCCGAGGAATTCGACGAGGACTACTACGGAGACATCAACGCCRGCCACAAATCCGCCAACGAGGCACCCGAGAGCGCTGTCTAATCCGGTTGTTCGGATGTCTCATTCGGACGCACCCCCGGCTGAGGCACGAGTCGTTGCGATGCGGGCCAAAGCTCGAACTTTGCCACATACTGGGAACAGAAACCGACGCCGCGTTGATGTAAACCATGTGCGTGTGCACGCACCGCCTTTGTCGGGAAGGGCATCGAATCGAGAAAACTACATGTATTGCACGCAAACAATTATTGTATCGGAAGTCATTCATCAGAAATTAGAGATCTACAAAATAAGAAACAGTATAATCAATATTAGTCATATCGTACATCAATACTATCCTACTGGGTAATAGTAGTGCTTGTGCAGTAAGATTTTTGAGTTTTATGGTGAACCTCCTAGACAAAGTGTTCCCCCTACCGTACGGTAGCCTTCGTCCSCCCGTCTTCATTGACAAATATGGACTCCCTCGACTCAACCAAATCAATTCAAAATCGTGTCWCTCATTTTTTCGATTGGTCGGTTCTCTTGATGTGATGTGCCGTCGATTTTTTTTTGTTGTTGGTCCATACACAAAAGTACGAATTCCAAGTCCCAGTGTTGGAATACCAGGTACGGTACGTACTCTGTACGCACTGTACCGTAAAGATGATGAATGATGATWGATTTCATTTTTTCCCACGGTACAGTCTTCGTTCTCTCCAGCCATGGCGAGGAACAATAATACCAAGAAGAGGATGTGGACACGGACGGGGACAAAAGGTCTCGTTCCCTCCATCTATGCGCTGGTCTTCTTTGTTGTTTCGACGGGGAAAGGGACCCGTTTCGCCAACAGCAAGGGTGCTACGAGCTCTCTCATGGTCGATGCATTTGCGCAAAACTCGGCATCATCGATAACGGCATCGCCTTGGCTTCCGTCGGCGCCACTGCTGTGTTTGTCAACGAGAATTCCTCTCGCTAGACTCGGGGGTAGAATTGGCAATCCCGCTCTCGCCCAGCACCCGCAGGCAACGAATGATGTGGTGTGTTATTCCGATCTCGTCGACCTTGTTTCCGGTGCCGACTAYATGGACCCGGAGACGAAGGACCGTTTGCTGCGATCTCTGGACGACCGCTTCGTCCACAAAGCGTCGCCAGCGGGAGGCGTCAACCCCACTATTGAAGCGCGTATGCAAACGCAAACCCAAAATATGGAACCAGAGCGTAGAACGGAGGATGGCATCGTTCCAACAATCGAAGGTTCGTGGACAGACAGTGGCGATCGGTTCCATGCTACGGGGGCGTGGCAATCAACCCCGTTGCTAATGAAGGGTGCCTTTCTGGATGATGTCAACATGGAACCTACAAGTAAAGAATACCCCTTTCCAACCTGGGAAGAAGTTGCGGAGTTGGCTTGCATTGGAGGAGGGAACAACTACRACGAAGCCCTGGGGAATAACGACGGAGATGATCACGATCTTCCTGGCCTCGATCCCAACGGGGAATACTTTGGGCAACTTGGAGAGGGCGAAGATGCCGACGATCTCGATGCATGGATTGATGAAGATGACGATGACGAAGATGGCGGAGAGGCCTACTACGTATGGGACGACGACGACGACGACGACGAAATCAACGACGATGTTGCTCCGTCCCGCGTCATTCAGTATTCGTGGCCGAGCCGGAAGGGAGAAGATGGCGTCGATTCCGACTACTATCAAGCCGATGTCAACACGAACTGGTTGGATACATTTGAGATCAAACAATTCGGACCCTTCAGTGATCCGTCTTCTCTAGAGGCGCTGTTGAGGATAGAAGACGGAGTAGACGAAACCGACCAAATAACGCGAAACGCTAACGAAAACATCGCCCGAACCCTTCTCGTCAACGACGTCGATCGATGGATCCCAAAATTGTCGGAATGGATGGACCGTCGTTTTAACAGCAACGGGTCTGGGGGCAGTGTTCTGCCGGCAAGATGGAGACGCGACGATGCCCAGATTAGTTTGTCGTATCCAGCGGGAGGAATCGGTCCGCACGTCGACGACTACGATGTCTTTTTGATCCAGGTTGCYGGAGAGCGCACCTGGGACATACTCTGGGCTGATGAAGAGGATGGCGACGAAAGGTCCGAGTCGTGTGGTGTTGCCAWTCGCGTGGGCAAAGTATCCGTGCGAGACGAAACAGATTCCATCTTGCCGGAATCGTCGATGAACGGGGTTCGGATCGTGAACGTTACCAAGCTGGAAGCGCTAGAAGAACAGCGTTTTGGAAGGCCGAGGACCAAGATGACGAGGCTTTACCTGCGACCGGGAGACTGCTTGTACCTGCCACCGCGGGTTTTGCACTGTGGGACGGCGTTGAAGAGTGAAACAAACGGGGAATGCATGACCCTCAGCGTTGGGTGTCGTGCTCCTTCGGCGTTGGAGCTGCTCGACGGCTTGTCCGATTTGATGAAAAAATCCGCTGTTGCACCGACCTCKGGGTCGAAAGCTGGAGCAGCGCCGCTGTTTCCATCCGATGTATCCGTACAGAGCTTCCACAAGAGATACACAAATTCCGAGATGCACCGTGGTGAACAACCGAGCGACGGTAGCAATCCACGTGGGCGTACATCATCGAAAACGTCGCATTCTCCCCTATCATCTTGGTTATCACCCGTAGTAAAGGATGAAATGAGGGCTCTGGTGTTGGATGCGGTTCGAATAGCTTTGGATGACGATGAAAATGTATTGGATCCATTGGTCGGCAGGTTTGTGACGAGGTCGAACCGTTTGGAAGAAGACGACTTCGGTGGGGACGACAGTTCTTCGCTCCCCTCATTTTCGTACCCGAARCCACTCCGAACGCTCGCTAACGACGGTGCCGATGTATGGGCAAATGCAACCACTGCTTTAGAAGAAATCTTCTGTGCACCGAAGAAAAATGGGGGGTTGAGCAACTCTTTCCTTAAAAGAGCCGAGGGAATCGCGTTTGCTTGGTCGTGCGTTTGCGACCAGAAACGACAGGTACGAAAATACAGATTGTATGCCCAGGGACGACCCCCCTTTGAAGTGTTCGAAAGCTTGGATGMTGTAGTGGTAGGTGAGAAATGGGTAGAACCAACCACTCAGGGATTTACGACGCTGGGATCTTCAATAGGGCGACTAATTGATCGAATAGCTAACGGGCCACCCTTCAATAAATCTTTTGTCGTGGACGAGCTGAAAATCTCCGTCGACATCGACGAAAGGGAAACCAAAAATTCCGTAACTTGGTTTTTGCACGCATTAATAGAAGAGGGTCTCCTCTACGGAGAACACTCCGGGAACGGTCCGACAGAGTCTTGATACACCATCGTCCGTGATTCGTACACATCTGGGGAACTGTCTTCTATTTTGGGCAGAGCCAAATAAGTAGTAGCAGTGATACCAATAGCAGTAGCGTTGCCAGAAGAAGATCTTCAACAACCAGGTATTTAAAGTCAATGATGACTGCGGTAGGAGGACGACTACAAAAAATACTTAACAATATTTAACCTTGAGAACAGGGCCCTAGGAAAGCCAGGACCATTGGACGATGGTACAATCTACAATACTCCAAGTCACACCAGGGGTCAATATTCCGGTTACACTAGAGTTCAACCAGGATACTGATAATGCAGCTARGTCAGAATTTGTWGAAGAAGGTGGTAGTGGATGGTTAAGCAAGATATGGAGGAGGAAAATAGTGTTCCAGGGGCTGAGCCACTATCGTTTGCTTCAACAATTCTCTTTGCAGTACATGCCATGAACTAGCAAATCTCTCATGGTGCAATATAGGTGGCGTTTTGAAGGAGGGACAAGGTCAAACTTCCCTTRAAACTTAGAGGGCACAGATACATCTAGCACTACCAAATTATGGTAGGCATTTTTATCAGGAATGTATGCATTCTGAAGTAGAAGTACTGCTACTTTATTTTTTTTGTAGTTGGGAACMTGCAGTAGATTCAAAACTTTGGAAATAAAGCAAGAAATACACTATCACCAGAAATGAATGAGCCTTACCCTGGTAAAGAACCCAAGGGGATGACACATTGAGAATTGTCAATTTTGTGGTTTGCGCATTCTTGGTGCTGTTATTGTTGGTCTGGGGATACTAGCCTACTACTACTGCTACTTTCATTGGGTAGCTACTAGTAGTAGTACTACTACTACTGCTTCTAATAGTGAGCACCTGGTCCTGCTTCTACCTATTATTTTCGGAGGGTATTGTTGTGTTTGGGAATCCATAGGATGCTCCAGGACCAGTAGGGCACATACTAGTATTCTTAGTTCTCTTTAGTTCAACTACTAGTAGTAGCAACTAGTACTAGCAGTACTAGTAGTAATATGACACTTACTACACCATTAGGGGCCAGGGGGGAGCTGGTTCTCCATTAATACCCAGTATGGCCAAAATTGGCCAGTTTACAAGACTGCATGCTGGTTAGAAATATCAACAGTAGTAGTAACAGTAGTAGTAACAG